CAACTGAAAATTTATTCTTCATTTTCAATGACTTTGTATAAAGAAAATATGCTACATGAGTGGAGAAAGCATCCTTTGTTAGAATTTATATCTGGTTTTCAATTTACAGTTAATAAAATATTCAGTGAGGAAACGATCTTGTATATATATTTCCTTGTATATTGATAGTGTTTTACACCACAGCTCTTTAATAGAATTTTCCATCTCAGAATTTCTCAAGGTATATATCAATGGATTCAGCATGGGACTTACAACTGTATAAAACACGGCAATATACTTATCAATAGGAAAGTTGGATACAGGTCTAGCATATATAAAAATGCAGGGAACAAAAAAGCAGACAATGACAATGATGTGTGAGCTGCATATAGACAGGGCTTTGCGCCTCCCTTCTTGACTGTGAGTCTTAAGAGAGTTTAGAATGATTCCATAGGAGACTAAGAGAAAGATGAAAATTCCCACGCAGATAACTCCACCATTGGCAATGACAGTGATGCCAAGGAAATAGGTGTCAGTGCATGCAAGTCCCAATAATGGATTCATGTCACACATGAAGTGATCAATGACATTGGGACCACAAAAAGGAAGTTTATACACAGTCAGAACTTGAATCATTGAATGTGCTATGCCGCCAACCCCAGCTAACAGCAACAGGAGGATGCAAACCTGTTGGTTCATAATGGTCAAATAGTGCAGTGGCTTACAGATGGCTACATACCGATCATAGGCCATGGATACCAAAAGGAAGACCTCCACACCACCAAATAAGTGTTCTACAAAGAGCTGGACCATGCATGCTTTGAAGGAAATAGTCTTTTTATTATATAACAAGTCTATAATCAAATTTGGTAAGATAGTATTGCAATAAAAAGCATCCAGGGGTGACAAGCATGCAAGAAAGAAGTACATTGGGGTGTCTAAGGAAGGGCTGGCAATCACTGTCACTGCAATAAGCAGGTTGCCCAGCATTGTCACAATGTAGATGAGTGAAAACAAGACAAATAATACTTTTTGCCCAGCAAGATCTTGAATAAGGCCAACAAAAATAAATTCTGTGACATTGCTGCTCAGTCCCATTAACCTTTCTAAGTGGCTTGTTTCAGAGATGGCAGCTCAAAACAAGACCTGTCCTGAAGTATGTGTCTAGCAATGATCTAGCAATCATCTCCTCACCTCACCTAACATGCAGGTGTTAGCAGTGTGAGTTTCTGTTCCAATAATCACAGGGGACCTCCTGTTGAAGATTTTATTCCCCCTTGGGAAATTTTAGTTGTGCCTGAAAGTACAAGAGCTTATTTTAAGTCTCAGTGTATCTGTATACTATCATCATGTACTTTAACTACTTATTTAAAATATGTGAGTTTTGGCAAACATGTTACGTATGTTACTAAGGGGTACTTACTTTTAGAAACATGCTCTCTCTGATGTCAACAGCCTCCATTTTGTGGCTGGAGAGATGGCTCAGTGGTTGAGAATACTATTTTCTCTTAGAAATGACCTGAGTTCAATTCCTGGTACCCACATAGTGATTTGCAACCATTTTTATCTCCAATTCTAGTGGGTTCAATAACTTCTCTTATATACAGGCAAGAATGTGGGGCACATATACCC